AACACGTTTTGAAAAATAACTTTTAGTTTTTGAGAAAACAATATTTGAAGTTTTGATAAAATTTTCGATGTTGCAATTTTCATCGATAACTTTCAAAATTCGCTATAAAATTAATTTCTTGAAGGATCCTTGCGGAAATATCACCAATTATTAATTAAAGTATCATCTTTTTAATGCAAAAAGCCGTTTTGAAAAATCACTTTTAGTTCTTGAGAAATAAATTTTTGAAATAATCCAAAATTTTTTCGAATTTTGCTATTTCCGCCGATTAAGTTTTAAAAATTCGTATAAAATCCATTTCTTGGAATTTGAGTATGAAAATTTCCCAAAGTGTTAATAAACGTGTCCTCTTTTCAATGAACCAACACGTTTTGAAAAATAACTTTTAGTTTTTGAGAAAACAATATTTGAAGTTTTGATAAAATTTGCGATGTAGCAATTTTCATCGATAACTTTTAAAATTCGCTATAGTATTCATTTCTTGAAGGATCCTTGTGGAAATATCGCCTATTATTAATTAAAGTATCCTTTTTTAGAGTTGCTTGGTTAGTTTAATCAGCATCAAAATAGTTGATTTCGTATCTTGGATCCAAATAAGTTGACATATCTTATCAGCTTTCTTATTAATTTCATTTGTATTCAAATATCGCAATAATGTGGATATAATTAAGCATAATTAATCCGGGCACCGTCCATCACCTTCACATCCAAATCACGTCTCCACTTTTCTCCTCGAAATTACCAATTAGTCAACCAGTCACTATTTTACTTAGTACAAAAATCTTTTTAGAGTATCATTGGCTCAACTCATAGGCTTTATATTACAGAGTATTTAGCAGATAGCACACGAACATCTTAGAATTAATAAAATGAAATAAATACAATGTTACAAGGAATAATCAATTAGAATATTTTGTCAAATAAGTTCAACAATTATCTGCTTAATATGGCAAAAATATACAATGATAATAGGATGGTAATCAATTTAGAAATAACCGCTAATTATACGACATAAGTCTTTACGGAGAAAACGGTTGACGATTAGAAGAGAGAAAAAGGGAACAAAACATCCGCGAACCGTTTTCGCTTCGACCCGATCGTTTCGCTTTAATAACTCCGTTTAATCGTCTCTCGGCGACTCTATTTGTTTATCATAAACGTCAATTGGAGTCTACTAAATAAGACCGATCGGTCGTCCAATAAACAACGGATAAGGAGGCGTCATTCGATAAACACGTCCGCACAAACGACTCTCTCGTTAATTTTACAGCTCTCTGACTACCTGATGGACTCTGACAATTAATCCTAATTGTACAGCTAATCCTCTCGTATACAGAGATGTAACCCCATTCGCAATCTCCCGACTTTTTCTCTCATCAGCATTTTACGAGACCCCCATCTTTGGCGTACATCGATTTTTACTCTACACTCACCTCCTCTTTCTTTCTCTTTTCAGTGTCTAAGTAGTGCGTTCGTTTCGCGATTGTACCGCTTAAAGGCAAAAAAAATGAAAGTAATACCCGACGATTGTAGGTCTTCTAGAATGAGTGCTTGTACGCACCTTACCTTTTGATATATAGTACTTACGGTGAGGTATGAAAGCAACGTAACACCATAATGCGTTATGCAAGACACGTACTCGTTTATGATCGTTAACGAGGTAGGAAGGCGCAAATCTTAAAACCAAATTTTACGTTAAAGTGGTTAGATTCACATACGTCACGCTTTTATGAGGAAATACTTGTCAACTTGCTAATGATATTGCCGTAAAATGTGCGTTTGAATGGTCTGAAATGTATTAGTAATGTGTCCTGGTTGATAGAATGCACATTTCATTTCAAGTTTTTCTTTTCTCAACAAAGTCGAACTTGGCTTAATCAATCAAAAGCATCATGAATATTGATCATCTGAATTTTAAAGTTATTTAATTTATTACGATTATAATTTAAAAGATTCCTTTTTTTAATAGGCAACCAAATTTACAAAGAATTATGTCTGGTTGCATTCCAAATCTGCGAAACAATACAATTTAAATAATAAATTCCGTTCAAAATGAATTGAATCTTCCGAAAATAACTTGTACAAGTATTTTAATAATTCGTTATAAGCAGTGTATATCAAAGTATTGCATTCCGAAGAAGAAGAAGCTCAAGTTACAAGTTCGCGCGATGTTCTCGTTCCTTGTTTTTAGCTTCAGGGCGGACTTATAGGAATTTATAATCTTGCATAACAGGCATTGTTTGCACTTTCCGCTCGAGGAAGATTTAATTAAAAACCGTAAGCGATCAAAACTCGTAAGCTTACAGCTGTCACGGCAGCTGTGCGTTTTATTGCTGTACTATTTAATGAATGAAAAATACTAAACATGTTTAATTTAGTTATGTTCAA